TTTTTTTTTGTGGTGTAGGGTGGGGGGGGGGGGGGGGGGGGGGGGACAGTATGACAAAAAAAATGAGGAGAGAGAGAACGCAAAAAGGGAATGATGACCTTACTGCTTACAGGTCTTCTAATAACAGCTGTGGGAATGTCTGGGGATTTGCTGGTAGAACTAGTTCAGAGGTTCTCAATATAGTTACTGAGAACCAGAAATGAAAATATAAAGTCTAACAATGGAATAAAGAAGAAAGTAGTAAGATAAAGATCAGATGTGACTCTTACAAGCAGTGATGTGTTGAAACTTTAGCTTTTGAGGGTTCAGAAACTGTCTGACATTGAAAGGAAAAAACAATCTCAGGAACTCAAGCACAACAATCAAACTCACTTTATCTTCAAATTCTCCTTTGACGAACGTTTGATTAACTGCCTCGTGGGTGATGGATAAACAGCTCTTAGCTCCACAAGTTTTTATTACATTCTATCAATTTTCTCTCATGGTTAACTGATGTGTGTGAAGAATATCAGGAGGATTGTGGGTATTTTCCAGGGAGAGACTTTTAGTGAGTTTTTGGGTTGTTTGAAATGGTAAGAATCCCACAACTTTTCCACTAACAAAAGCTTTCAAAACTCATCAGAAAAACATGCCTTTCTTGCACCTTTAACATATTTCAAATGTCCCACACTATTAAATATAGTCTAAATATTAGAATATTGGCAGTCATTTGCACATTGCCAGTCGAAAAAGAAAACAAACAGACAAGAAGAAGAGAGATCAGAAAGGACAAGAGAGAGAGAAAACGCTCCGGTTACTTTCGTAACCTCGGTTCCCTGAGATAAGTGAACGAACATTGTGTTGTACGCTTATGGGTATGAGAATCTCCTGTTATGATACAAAAGCCTGATTTGTTCATGTTCTTGTAGCTGCCCGAATAAATGGCGCTTCAACCCGCCAAAAGGGGTGGAGCCGACTGTAATGTAAGTCGGCTCAGAGTGTCATGCATCAGAATCTTTCGACTGATAGCAACAGTCATCAACTCGCAAGCAGCCGTAGCTCAGGGAACCAAGGTTATGAAAGTAATCGGAGCATTGCCTTTCGAACGGTCTCTCCCGTTGCGTTGCACGCTTATGGGGAATACATCCAATAGTGCCGTGCTATAAGCTAGTGCAGAACGAAGCCACTCTGTGAGCCCAGCCCCAGAGCACCCGTAATGAGGGCTCCTAAAAAGCATGAGAACCAAGTATGAGAACCAAGCCAACAGGCAGGGTTCTACATAACAAGACCTTCTCCACTTAATACAGGGGAGTAGGTGGATTAAGTGGACAAAATCTGTTCCTGAAGGGCAGGGACGTCCAGGTTATAAAATCTGGTGAAGATATACGGCGAAATCCAGCCGGCCGCCGCACAGACATCACCAATTGAAACTCCGCTGGACCAAGCCCAGGAGGAGGCCATTCCTCTGGTGGAGTGGGCCCTCACTCCGAGAGGACACTGTAAGCCTGCTAAGACATAAACCAAGTCTATAGTGTCAACTATCAAGAGAGATAGTCTCTGCTTCATGACAGGAGTTTACCCCAGCGTACAATGCAACGGGAGAGACCTTTCGAAAGGGAACAAAAAATATCCTTGTTAACAATTCTACTAACAGTTTAGAAGCTAAGACAGTAAACTAACATTCACATATGACGCAGTTTTGTCTGCCCCGAATGGTCAGGAGGGGACAGTCAAGGGCCGGGGGCCGACAGCAGTATTAATATATAGAGCACTGAAGTGGCTCACACTCCTGCACCTGGAGCCCAGCCTGACCGAGAGCTCATTCAACCTCCATATCACAGATTTAAAATAAAGGTAGTCTATAAATCACAACCCTTTCAAACAGACTCTGCCTTCAAACTATTTTCCTTCAGTTTTTCTTGAGCGAGTCATTCTGTAGCCTTTTGCCTAAACTGAAATGTCCACAAATGTGACACTTTAATCTATGCTGTCAAACATTTCACTGACTACTTCTCACTCAAAATCCAAACTCTGGAAAAAGTTACACTTAATGAAAACATAGTAATTGTTAAGCAGCTGGCTTGAGTCTAGAAAATGTCCGCATTCTGGTCCAAGCATAAAAAAAAAGTGACCTTCACAAGCTGAGAGGACGGTACAAAACAACCCAGTGCTCTGCATCATGTCACACCGCGCAGAGAACAGAGGTATTTATAGAACAAGAGAGCTTTGGGTTGACATTCTGTAATATTATATCCATTTACATTTACATTTAGTAATTTAGCATATCCACCCTTAAAAAATCTGAATATATTATTTCCTTTTCCTGTATTCACCACAAAACTATTGGACATTTCCAGAATTATTACCTGGGAAACAAATACAGTTGCACTTAACAGAAAGCATGTTATCATACCATATGGGGTACGTTGTCACAATTAGAATGCTTTATTGTCATTGTATACAAGATACAACGAAATTGCAGAGTTTCTGCATAAGGTGCTTGGTATATAATAAACAAAAGAGACTAAAAAGAAATATACAATTAAAATATGTAAAACTAAGACAAAGAATAAATAAATGAAAATAGAAAACAATTGCTTGTATGTAAAAATAGGTAAATAGAAGTAACAGCTTGTTAAAATAATTATTGCACAGATACGAGGTAAGCTTCTGGGTAAAAGTACACTGAAGGGATAGAGATATATATTTAATAACTTACGCTAAAAAAGTAAAGATATTGCTCTGAAATATAATGCTGCACTGCACTGAAGGAATAAAGTTATAGAAAAACATTGCACAAGAAAAGATAAAGATTGCACTGAAATATAATACACATCTAATACACATATTGCACTGAGTAAGATGGGAAGGGGGTCAGTGCGTGTGTGTGTTCAGTGTGATTATAGCTCTGGGAAAGAAGCTGTCCTTGAGTCTGTTT